ATATATTAAAAGAGTAAGTAATAGGTTTATTCCATGCTGAAAAGAGAAGAAAGAAAACAGAACGTTTCGGCCATGGAGCCTTCTTCAGGTGGAGCCTTCCTTCATGTTGTCGTGGAGCCTTCTCCATGGCCGAAACTTCATGTTTTCTTTCCTCTCTTTTCAGCATGGAATAAACCTATTACTTGTTCCTTTGCAGCCTTCACATGCCTACCCATCTGAACTATTAAAAGAGTAGTCTAACTTAATACATAAATATCTATGGAGCTGCTTTCCTGTGGATATACAATTATTACATAAATCATTTAAATAAACTATTCAGCCAAACGCATTAGGAAAAAACTGAAATATTTGTCTGAAGATATAAATCTAGATATGAATATTTTGATCTGATCTGTATTTAATAGAGTTTCGTAACACTTTATAATAACTTTCATTGATAAGTCATTAACAAACATTTAATAATGCTTAACAGATAATTAGTTCATGTACATTCACATAGTTATAAATGTCATTAAATGATAATTCATATTTTAGGTCAGGTATTTTAGGTCATTTTTAAATATTTACAAATAATTTAACAAATGGATAATATTTTTTACCATTCAGTAACCCATTATTCATGTCGACAAATCATTCATTAATGTCTAGCTGATTAGTAATAAATGTCTTTTAAGTCCAAATCACACCTGTTTTATTTATCATACACAAGTTTGTTGTTCATGATTTATACAGTCTTTAAAACTGTCTATTTAATGTTTCTGCCTGCTTTGTAACATTGAAAGAATGTATTGTATCTAGGCTTTTATACTTTACATCTTTACATATAATTTATTCATGAGTTGTATATCTTTTTGCAGTACCTAATCTAAAGTTGAAACTATTCATCCATTGTAAAGGTTTATAATGTAGCGGCAATGCTTGTTAATAAGACAGAATTAAGTGTTGCTGTGCTTTCCCAAATGAGGCCCCATCTCCCTCTTCATCTCTGTGGTGCAGCAACAGAGAAGCTGTTCATGCAGGCTGATTTAAAGATGTTTTCTTTTGATAAGGGACAGCTCCCAAATGGGGATGCACTTAGCTAAACCTGGCTATCATGATCAATGGTCATCAATTGGCACCTAGCTGTCTAGGGAGTGCCAGATGTACATCTGGACTGCATTCCTAAGTGTCAGGAGTAAGTGACTCATATCTCACCTTGATCAACCAATCAGGGACTGGTAGGGCCGAGTAACCCACATGAAATTCTGATGCCCATTAAACTTTCAGCCAATGAATGAGCTGAAGTTCCTCTAGGTAAAATCAGGCAACACAGAGAGCCTGGAGAAAGGAGAAATTCCAGTAGGAGAATTCCAGGGGTGCGAGACAATTCCAAGGCAGGACGGACCAGGAGCAGAAAGGCTCCCAAGGGCAGGACGTTCTCACAGCGCGCCTCCTGAACACCCTGAGACTCAGCCCGGACATACACAGAACGGCCAGTGTGTCCGAGTGCCAGAACGTTCCTCTGTTCTAAGAGTCTAGAGCGGAGGTTGCCAGAGAGTAACCAGAGGATCCATCCGAGGTTAGGTGCCAGGCTGTGCTGTGCGGCTTGCGACGGTGCGCTGCTGATGCTCACTGACCGGCTAGTAAGTGTTGGCTTTAACTAGCAAAGTTTGCACACAGGAGAAAAGAAGACTGTGGGTCCCAGCAGGTCAGGAAGAGGACCGGTTCATTCCTGATGAAGTGCTAGTTCTGAATAGTGATTAATCTGTCCACAGTTCCGACCTGTTCACGAGGCCTGCTGCTGGTGCTAACCTCGGGTAGATCCTCTGGTTACTCCTTGGCAACCTCCGCTCTAGACTCTTAGTCACTCGGCACTCGGCACTCGGACACACTGGCCATTCCGTGGTTGTCCGGGCTGAGTCTCAGGATGGTCAGGAGGCGCACTGCGAGAATGTCCTGCCCTTGGGAGCCTTCTGCTCCTGGGCC